GACTAGACACCCCAATTTAAAAGCAGACATTGTCAGACCAGATAAAAATGCAAAATCCAACTGTATACATATTAAATGTAAAGAAATAGATAACTCGGGCATAAAGGTAATTAAAAAGTCATACAAATAGTGAATGTAAGAAAGCTAGAGTGGCTATATTAATATCAGACACAGTAAACTTCAAGAAAAAGAGTATTATAGGAAATAAAGTAGGATATTATATAATAATAAAAGAAGTTTGTCAAAAAGACATAACAATCCTAAATATGTATGTACCTAATAACAGAACACCAAAATTCATGAAGCAAAAACTGACAGGCTTAAAGGGAGAAACAGACCAATCCACATAGTCAGAGATTTTAATACTCCTCTTTCAGTATACCTGATAGAACGAGTATAAGCAAACCCATGATGGGTATAGATTATCTAAATAGCACAATCAATCACATTAACCTAATTAACATTTACTGACACTACACCCAACAACTGCTGAAAACACATTTGTTTTCCAGAGCACATAGAATGGTCACCAAGATAGACCATATGCTGAGCCATAATATAATTCAATGAGTTTCAAAAAGTTTAAATCTTACAGCAAACGTTTTCTGGCCACAATGGAAAAGAAATAACATTGAGTGCTTATGTGGGCAGGTAATGAAAAAACATTCAAGATAATTGTGTCTAGGAAAAAAAAACATTCATCAAGATTAGGATGAGCAGCGAAAATAATTTATGTGAAAAGAAAGAAGAACTAAAAAGACTGAGAAGTCTTAGAAAGGAGAAAATGATAACAATCAGAAAAAAAGAGAGGTTCTCTGAAGGAGATACAAGAGTCTTTATTTTTATTCTTCTCAAAGTGATCCCAGTAATGAGACAGCTGTTAGCAATGCAGGTCACTGGATCCTCTAGATTCTTCAGGAACATTTTTAAATGAATATCTTTGAAGTTTTATCAGTGTTCCTGAATATGGGAGACCTGGGGCTCTTGCTAAACTACAGATTCCTATTGAATACATCTGGGCTGGGGCCTGAGATTATGCATTTCTAAAAAGACCCCATTTGATGCTGACACTGCTAATCTGTAGACATTTTGTGTAGGAAGCTTTAGAAGAGACTATGTCTTGCCGTCTGCCCATCCAATCATGTAAAAAAATTGAATCACATGGGCAAAGCCAACAATATTTTCTCATTCTGCAGCCCTTTCATCATTAATTAAAACTGATTTTATAGAACGCATAAAATATATATTTTAATGTGTTTGAATCTTTAAAGTGATTTTTACCACAAACAAGGAAAAAATAGGAAAGAAATGGGGAGGAGATAGCTGAGCATGGAGCAATTGGTGAAACAAAAATAAAGTAGGAAACTAGGTAGAGTGGCCCTTTATTTCCTGTGTCTTGTAATGGGGACAACACTCCCTACCATCATTTTCCAGAAGGACTTTGGGTTTCTCAGGTGGCAAATCCGATGTAATTAAAAATACTTAAAATTTGCACTCATGAGATATGTTATAGGCAAACAAATTTTTGATAAAATTGTGAAGAAGATGTGGCCATATGAAAAAGGATCTATACATATCTCCTGGAGAGAAATTTGATGGCTACTAGACTCCTTCAGGACTTGATGACCAGCTGAGGGAAATGACAAAGAGAGATCCTTTGAAACTCACAGCATAACAAAAGGAGGTGTATAGTACAATAAGCTCTTTGGTCACTGAAAGACTGTATCAATGCACTCTGCTTTTTCTTTCATGTCAGTTACCATGGAATTTAAAACCAAAATCTATATTAATTCAAACCATGCCAATTGTATTTTTTCCTTCAGTCATAGATTCATTCAACCAATGTTTGATAACACCTAGTGGTTGCAGGCATGGTATTTCTACAACAGCATTTATCTAAAAAAGAGTTCATGTTCCCCAGAAATTCTTTTCCAAGTAAGGTAATTTTTAACTTTTATTTGGAAATAAATTTAGACTTACAAAGAAATTGCAATAGTACAAAGAGCAGCATATGCCCTTTACCCAGATTCTCCTATCATTAACATTTTGCCCCATTTTCTTTATCATTCTCAACCGTTTGAGACTACATTACATACCTCATGGACCTTTACCCTAGACGCTTCAGTATGTGTTTCCCAAGAATAAGGATATTCTCTTACATAGCCACTGTCCAGTTACCAACTTTAGTAAATTTAACATTGATGCAATATTCTAGCTAATCTATCAGCTGTATTCCAAATTTGTCACTTGCCCCCAAAATGTCTTTTATAACATTTTTTTCCTTCAGAACTGAATCCAGTCTAAGGTTAGGTGTTGTATTTAGTTGTCATGTTCCTTTAGTGTCATTTGATTTTGAAAATTCCTTTAACCTTTCTTTGTCTTTTATGACATCGACATTTTTGAAGAATCTATTCTTTTCTTTTTAATAGAATGGTCTTTATTTAGAGTTGTTTGATGTTTCCTCATGATTAAACTCAGATTATGCATTCCTGGCATGAATTTTATATAAGTGATGTTATGTCCTTCTCAAGGTATCACGTCCAGAAAGGATAATACTTTTTAAGTAAAGAAAGAAAACAAAAAACATAGGTCTTAATAGACTAAATATTCAATATAAAAATAATCTCCTGTTAATTTAATATGCTTTTTCTAAATGAAGTAAAATGTTTTTATTACATAAAATAACTCTTTATGTTTAGAACAAGTAAGCAAGCCAACATTTTATGCATATATTTTCTGAGATTTTCTGTTGACTACCTTTTCTGTGATTTTGTTTTATCATCAAGCATTCAATGGCTGTGGGCTATTCAGTAGCCTACGATAGCTGTAGGAGTGAAACATCCAGAATTATTTCTATAATATTCATTAAATTACTTCAAGTGAGTTTTCAAAAATTGTCTCCTTTTTCAAATATATTTGAAATTAAGATATCCAAAATGAAAATATTTGCATTTGCCCCCATGTCACTGGCTTTTTTAATCATAACCTTCACTGAATTAAATGAGCCATTTAGGTCTTGTTGCAACAGACATTAACACTTTGTCTCTGAATTGACACTAAAACTACCATTAAATATGGTATGATTTCACGAGACTGAGGCTCTGGTTCACTACACGTCTGTATTACAGATGAATTCTAGAGAAAAAGTGCATCCTGACAGATGGTTTCAGTTCATTGTACTTTTTCTTAAAGAACATTTGTTTTCGATTTGTCTGTAAATAATGAAAGAAAACACAGCTGGGGAGCCCAGTGTGATTTTCATAGAAGGCTCATTTTTGGAAATCTGATAAGCTTATAACCACATATGTTTAAAATCATTCTAGTATAAAATTAAGAAACTTGGGGTGGGGGAATCCTACTTGTCAGGCAGCTCAATGTTTACTTTATCGATTACTTAGCACTACTTGTCAAACATTTTGTGTTTTCAGAAATTTTAGGGAAAAAATTTCAATACATGTTAAACTTAACAATGCTTATTAAAAAATTTGAGCATGTAGATAATTATGAATCATACTTTAAGGTTGTAAGTACATAGGCAAATAGAAACAAAAAATGTATGTGTTAATAATGTAGAATAAGAGAATTCTGCATGTGCACATGGACATGCTGGAAATAGAGAAACACATTTGCACATGTGGGCACAGTGGGCATAGGTATGTTTGTATCGTTAAGAGGATCTGTCCTACACAATTCTTCTTAGAAGGGCATAAACTTAGCAATACAAATCAAACAAAAAAAGAAATTTTAAAAGGTCTTCAAAAAAAAAAAAAAGGTCTTCAAGATAAAATATACTTTTCTTTCGGGCAACAATCTAGCCAACAGAATTTAATTTTATGTGTTCTATAAATTCTTCAGTAGATAACAATTGCGACCAAATCCTTACTTATGTCAGACATAATGTTCTACTGTGGAAACTCAACAAGCAAATTCCAACCGGAAATAAGTTTGTTACATGCATGTATTAATCATTCTGGAAGGTAGTGTGAGCGACTCAAATCACAGTTTCCTTAAATTAATTTCGAGCTGAATTTCAAACACTGAATGAGATATTTAAGAGCCTTTGGTAAGAATTTAAACAATAGCTTTAAATAGTTTAAGAGAATATTCTTTAACGTACATTTTTATTAATATTATGCCTCCTACTATCCAGTTTATAAAGGTAAACTTTAACAGACCACAGTGACAAAATACACACTTCACATTAATGTTCAAAACTAAATCTAAAAATTTCTCTTCATCAACTTTGAGTAATACATTTAGGACTGGAAGAAGCCAAAAGAGTCCTTCCTTGGTTTCTACCTATTGCTCTAAGAAAATATACATAAGCTAAAAGCTCTCCTTCAGAACTACCCAGCATGTCATCTGTCCCTTGGACATACAAAGATAATCCAAATGTATGATTCCTCCCAAACTGAAATCCTAGATAAACGTGGCGTACTTCAAAATTCTTTTTTTTTTTTAAGGATTTTAAAAAATTTTTTATTGGAATATAGTTGCTTTACAACGTTGTGTTAGTTTCTGCTGTATAGCAAAGTGAATCAGCTATATGTATGCATATATCCCCTATTTTTTGGATTTCCTTCCCATTTAGGTCACCACAGAGCACTGAGTAGAGTTCCCTGTGCTACGCAGTAGGTTCTCATTAGTTATCTATTTTATACATAGTAGTGTATATATGTCAATCCCAATCTCCCAATTCATCCCACCTACCCCCTTTCCCCCCTTGGTGCCCATACATTTGTTCTCTATGTTTGTGTCTCTATTTCTGCTTTGCAGATAGGTTCATCTGTACTGTTTTTCTAGATTCCACATATATGTGTTAATATACGATATTTGTTTTTCTCTTTCTGACTTACCTCACTCTGTATGACAGTCTCTAGGTCCATCCACATCTCTGCAAATGGTACAGTTTTGTTCCTTCTTATGGCTGAGTAATACTCCATTATATATATGTACCACATCTTCTTTATCCACTCCTCTATAGATGGACATTTAGCTTACTTCCACGTCCTGGCTATTGTAAATAGAGCTGCAATGAACATTTTGGTACATGACTCTTCTTGAATTATGGTTTTCTCAGGGTATATGCCCAGTAGTGGGATAGCTGGGTCATATGGTAGTTCTATTTTTAGTTTTTTAAGGAAACTCTGTACTGTTCTCCATAGTGGCTGTATCAATCAACATTCCCACCAACAGTGTAAGAGGGTTCCCTTTTCTCCACACCCTCTCCAGCATTTATTGTTTGTAGATTTTTTTGATGATGGCCATTCTGACCTGTGTGAGGTGATACCTCATTGTAGTTTTGATTGGCATTTCTCTAATAATTAGTGATGTTGAGCATCTTTTCATGTGCCTCTTGGCCATCTGTATGTCTTCTTTGGAGGAAATGTCTATTTAGGTCTTCCGCCCATTTTTGGATTGGGTTGTTTGTTTTTTTGATATATTGAGCTGCATGAGCTGTTTGCATATTTTGGAGATTAATCCCTTGTCAGTTGCCACAATTCTTTTAATAAAGAATTACTCTTTGGTCAAAAGGTACAAGCTTCCAGTCATAAGGTAAGTAAGTTCTGGGGAAGTAATATTCAGCATGGTGTCTATAGTTAACACTACTGTACGGCATACTTGAAAGTTGCTATGCGAGTGAATCTTACATATTCTCACCACACACACAACTGAACTTATGTGAGGAGACGGACGTGTTAACTCGTCTTATTTGTGAATCATTTTGCAGTATATACATGTATCAATTCATCACGCTGAACACCTTAAACTTACACAATGTTATGCTACTTATCTCTCAGTAAAGCTGGGGAAATCATTAATTAATTAATTTTTAAAGGATCACTTTACAGTGGTCATCAGATTAACTTCCTTTTTTAAAGACTTCTCGCATACCATTTCTAAAGCCAAATGAGTGGAAACTGGTCAAAGCTGAGAGAAAGGTGAAATCTGACAACTCACAGACTCAACCTTGCTGTTATTGATGGAGAAACATATGAAGGCATCCTTTGTCATAGTAGTTTTCTTTAGATTTTGCACATTTTTGCCAAAGAATCACGGAGATACAAATGTCACACGAATGAGTAAGACAGAGGATTTCCTTCTGAACACAATTGACAGAACAGGTGCTGTATAAAATGGAATTTATCCAACCGCCAAGGAAGGATGCACTTCACATTTGTCAAAGGTTACCCACATTTCTCATCAAACACAAAGAAGCTGCTTGTACCATAAAATAGAAAATGTCAGAATTTGGAGAATGGCAGAGTAGTTAGGAATGTGGACGTGGGAGCCAACCATCAAGTTTAAATTCTAAATTTGCTGTTAATTTGCTGTGTATTCTTGGGCACTTAACTTTTGGGGCCTCAGTTTCCTTTATCTGTACAATGAGAATCATACTACTTACCTCTAGAGTCATCATGAGGATTAAAGGAACTAGTGTACGTGAAGTACTTAGAAGACTACCCGGAACAAATCAGTGCTCAAAACTACTCCTCATTATTATCTTCTTTCCTAGAGCAACACAACCTGAGGGAACACATTAGCCAAAATCTTCTTTCACCAAAGATTGGCAATTTGATTTCTCGCAGTTGGCCTGATCCCGGCATGTCTATTCAGCCAGTTTTACCTTCACAAAGAGCTTTGTTGTTATTATTATTATTAAAATCACTGTTTGGCTTGATCTCATCTTAATAGGCAAAGCACACAACTCTAAAACAATGTTGGGTTTATTTAGTGCAACCTCCATTTTAATCTCAGTTTCCACAGTGTTTTATGTTGATCAGGCCACGAACAGCTACTGAGTATTGAATCAGCCCTTAACACTCTGCAAGGCACAGTGAGAAAACATTTCGGAGGCTTCCGGTCTTATTAAAGAGACTAGATTTAATGACCTGAAATGATTAATGAACAGCCCCTTCAATCCTGTCCTTGGTCACATCCTCCTTGCTTAAACTTCCTCTACCACACTAGGTACAAAGTTTGGATTTCCACAGCTTTTTGTTTCCTCTGTTTTTCTCAGTCCCAGAACTTCTCTGCCTCGACGGTAAGCAAGTTCAAGTTCACTCACCCTTACAAGACCCTTGCTGCTGCTCAGTATTTTTCTTCATCTTTTAAATCCTTTTCACACTTCCTAAAACTGCTCTAATAATGGGTATACGGAAGGAAATACAGGTTCTGCAATCAAGAGACTTGGAGTTTAATATGAGCTTATAAGTAAGTGTATTACTATTTAAGCCTCAATTTCCTTGTCAGCAAAATAGGTATAATAAAGACTTTATAGTGCTGTTGTGGAGATTAAAAGAAAGTGAAGTGCCTACATAGTACCTCCATCACAGAAGACACTCAATGGCTTCTTCAGGCCCTGCCATCTCTCCCACTCAGAAAACCCCCTTGGGTACCACTTCACTGAGGAAACAGAAACCATTTTGCATGAGCGGTCTCTTACTTTGATTTAAACTTTCAAAACCATGGCTCTCCATTCCTCTCTTCTCCTTTCCCCCCTGCCTTGCAGGAAGACAGATCTCTCCCATCCAGAGCTCACACCTCCGCTCCCTCCCTAATTTATTTAGCAGGCATTATCCTCTGCTTATTTTGTGCCAGGAACATTCACGGTACTAGTGATTCAGAGGGGTGCTGCCTTCAAGAGCTGGGGGCGGGGAGAGGGACAAGCAAACACAGTCACAACACAATGAGGTCCGCATAAGGAGGGCCAGGAACTTAAGAGAACAACAGCAACAAAACAAAACAAACAAAACAAAACCAGCTAGCAAAGCAATTTGATTTTCCGTCCTTCCATCTCATCACACCAGAAGATAAAACCACCTAAAAATGAAACTTTTGCCTTCTAGGGTCCACTCACCTGGATTCTGTTTACAGTTTAAGAACACAGCAGATTCACCAGTGTCACAAGGCCCTGGGAACCAGCACCTGTGGGCACAAATGAACACCTTAGACAACCTGCTCGACCCACCACTGAACATTCCGCTCTGATTTATTCAGCGGTGACACCCATCCCTACCTGCATCCCTGTCCCCTACACACACGCACGTGTGCACACACACACACAAACACACACACACACACGTCCCTGCAGGGACAAACTTCGGAAGTCACCTCAACCCTCACATATACCCAGTTACACATCACATTCATTCATTCCATTACTCATATGCAGAAAATAGTCACTCAACTTGCTTTCTCAACCCCAAGCTGCTTTCTCTGATACCTCCAGTCCTTTACTTCTCCTGGCTTTTGATACTCTGACTTCAAACAGCCACATGCATGCCTCCCCCAATGTCCTCCACGTGAGCTGGGTGTCCTGTTCGTAACCAAAGTTCGTAAGTTTTCATGATTGCTGCCTCTGCTTTCTCTCCTAAGGCATTCATAATGTGGCTTCTAACCCTATACTTTCAAAAGCCCACTATGGTCTTCCAGTTTACAGATGCAGTCCTTTTCTCTGCCGTGAACCTCTCTGAGGATTTTTTTTGTCTTTGTTTGCTCCATCCTCCTTTCTGCCACTATCTCCTTTTTTTTTTCTTTTTTTCTTTAATAGAACAATGCTTACCCTGTTGCCATCTACTTCTAATCTCCTTCCTTACTTTCTCGTTTTCTTTCCCATCTCAGAAAATGAGTAGTTTCCCAAATCTAGTCCTTGTTGGGTGATCTTATTTATTTCCAGGCCTTCAGCTAGCGCTCAATATCGTTCCCAAATTTCCATTTCTAGCTAGGGCTCACGCTGGAACCCAGGTCTTGCAACCCAAGCCCCCTATGTGACATTACCAATGCAATGAACTGCAGTCATTTCAAACATTGCATCTAAAAAAGTTCATTACTTATACACAAACCCCCAGGTTCTTCTCCTGGCTCCTCCATGTCTCCTACTCATCAAACTTGAAATCTCAGTGTGATTTTTCAATCTGTTCCCTTATAACACCTTAGCCTTTCCGAGCTTAGACAAATTTCCAAATCCTGTAAGTACTCCCTTGCCATTGTCTCTCACATCTGTCTCCACTTTCCTCTTCTCACTGTCTTCACCTCATCAAGGCCTTTACACACACCTAGAACACAGCAACTGTCTCCTAACCAGTTTCTCTGCCTCAGATATTCCATCCCCACCCGATCTGTCCCGTACGTTTCCTGTAAATGAGTCTTTCCACGTGATAATATCATCACCCTGCCCAAACTTCTTCCACGGCTTCCCCAAACATACACATATCTATAAGCTGATCATCAGGGCCTAACACACTTTTTAGATTCACCTGCCACAACTCTTCTTTCGGGTCAGACTGCTCCGTTAGCCAAGCTCCAAAACACTTTTGTACCTTTGGTCACCGTTCCCTAGAAGACAACACGTGTTCCCTCGCCACTTCACTTCTAGCCAAATACTCCCCATTTCTTCAAGGCTTGTTTCAAGCCCACCTCCCCCCGATTCTAAGATCACTCCCACTTCCAGTGATCTCTGAAGCATCCTGAATCCTAGCACTCTTTATCTCTCCCACTCACCTCTTCACTAGCTTGGTGGCTCCTTGTGAAGTCAGTTACATTTTTATATTTATCTCTTGGGTTTGGAGGTCTTTGAGGAAGAGTGTCATGTTATCCTTTAGGAAGATTACTCTTGTGGTGGCTTGCAGGATGGATTGGGTGGAGATGGGTGGCTGCAGGTGAGGAAACCAGCTAGTAACCGATCCCAGGGTCAAGATGTAAGGTGATGAGAGAAGAGTAGAGATACATTTACTGAAGAGCTGCCTCCCGAACTGGATTCGGGAGCATAGTACAAAATGAAAGATAAAATGCATTTGTATTACAAGCTTAGAGAACACCATGAAGGCTTTATTTCATAAGAAAAACATGACAATTAGCAGGATTTTAGGAAAAAATAGTGAGAACATCAATATGGTTCACTTGGGGATTTTGTGGTCAATGTGTTGTCAAGGAAAACTGTTGATATTGAACTTTATAGTTTTAGCGGTGTTTCAGTGTGAATTTTTCCCTCCTGGTTAACTTTAAAACAAATGCAGTATAATGGAAAATTACATATTTAAATTTGGTTAGGATCCAATAAGCAATTCTTTGTTTATTCCCTACTGCTTCCTGTGATAGGAAATTATAATTCAACTCAAGCACTGGTGAAAAGAACTGATTTTTATAGAACATTATCTTTGAATGATAATAAGCCTGAATGTACAAACCTTTTACTATTCAAATCACCTATATTCATTTAGTGCTTAATTCAGCTCCCCAGAGCATAATTGTTTGAAATTCTACTTTGGTAAATAGGCAAACCAAATCCAGTCGCTATGGTAATTTGGGCTTCCTTGGTTATATTTCCCACAGTTCTTTCATGTTAATAATTGTTTTCCCTACAGGTGAAATGTCAATGACACTGATTTTAGCATCCTGTATTTGCAATAGCTGATCCCTTATCAGAGCCCCTATTTTATCAATTGAAAAGTTCAAGGGAAGGTTAGCCCTGATATCTGTAGCAATGCAATGCAATGCTCCTGCACGCTTTTTTCTTTTCCTCTTTTCAGCTTTGCTGATTTTTGTGTTTATTTTCTCATGGTTTCAAAACTTACTCTACCAAATTCCCAAGTCTGGAGTTATTTTCTGTCACTGCAGTCATTGAAGCATAGTATTGTTTTGTTCGCCATCCGGAACATCCTCCAGTTCCACGCAGAGGGGAAGAAGAGGAGAAGAAAGGGGGAGCAGGTGCAGAAGTTCTATTCACAAGGGCACTGACCCTCAGCAGGGGCGTGACAGGGCTTTAAAATAGGATTAGACACCCAAACAAGAAAAAGGTCACACTTGACATTTCCACTGGAAATACCAATGCAAATAGAGCTGATCCTAGGAACATTTTTCACACATACACAGACACACATACACACACACACAATTTTAGATAGGTCCAAGAGAAAAATGATGGATTTCAATTAATTATTTCCCTAAAAGCTCAAAAAAGCAACTATTGGAAACAAGGCTCGACAACAACAGCAAATATGAATCAAAAAGCTCACTTGAAAATGTTTTCTTTTCTCTTTTACTTATTTATTTCTAAGGTTTGCTCTTTATCATGGGAAGAAAAATAAGAATGGAGTTGATGGGGAAAATGACATAATGATTTAGAAACTTTGATTATGTTGTATTCAAACTCATTTGTTTTTAAAAATTTAGTCCCTAATCATATCAGCCCCATTTCTACCTGCAGTTGTCTCATCTGTCTTCTGTATAGTTGATGATAGATTAATAACTTTTTTCTGTCTATTTTCCATTTGTATATTCAAAAGTAGCTGACTGGAGCATCTAAGACCAAAGTAAAATTTGGAGACACCTAGAGGACGAAATCTGTCTCAAGCTGCTTCAGGATCCACCAATACATATTGAAGATTTCCAAATCATTCACCAAAAAGCAGATTGTCCATTGAACTCATAGCATTACTCTGAAGGACTCATGTACCTTCCAGCTTCAAAAACGTACATCTTCATTGGTACAACTGAGATTGAGACATATGTGACCATTAACGATGTCCCCAAAAGTAAGCCAGACCAACATAGATTTATTCCCAATACAAAGAATTCTTGGAGGAACAGGTAAATTCTAGAGCCTTCATGAATACTGTCACCCAAAGCCAGTCCAAGAAAAATGTACCTGCTGTGTATACTCAGATATTAACATATTAGATATATATTAAAGGAGGTTCACATATACACAAATTGTTTGTTAAGGTTCTTGAACGTTTGTTTATGGAAAACATGTAAGTCAGTTCTACCACAGAGAAACTAAAACCCTTTAAATGAAGAACTTTCCTGACCTGTATGGTGGGACACGGGGGAGCAGGGCCAAACTCCACTCCCGTCCAGTGACCACAGGTTTTGAAATTGTCTGTCAAACTCAAATGATGTCCTGTGCAGTCTTTTATTAGTCAAAGTTATGTAGAGCTGCCACAGTATCTAACTGGTACAAGATTACCTGGGCTAAATAACTGAGTTTCAACCAAAAGCAAAAGCAGAAAAAAGAAAAAAGTAATCCTTCCATGGGAAGAGGTATGATTCCATTAAGTTATTTGAAATTATAAAAATAAATTCAAGGACTCTCGTAAATACCTAAGTTAGCTCCTAAGGACTCCATATCTCAACCTGCAAGACCTTCCATAAAAACTGACACAGCTCCCACGAAGTCTGGCTGATTTTAGCCTGGTACATGCCTGACTACATTCTCGTCTCACAAGTTGAGTGTATTAATCTAAATTGCTCCTTTACTCTTAATGAAATCCAAGAACCTGTCATTGAGGAAAATATTATTTATTAAAGATCAGCTTTAAGGTCACAATGGCAAGATTTTTTTTAAATCACATATGGTATTCAGAATGTGTGGATATTAACTGTAATGGAGACTGTGAAGAAAGTGAGAAATGGACTTTAGCTTAAGCTGAATTTTGGAAAGCTTCTTCTTTGCTGAAATTACTGTGATTTACCAGTCAAGAGAAAGAATTTGTGTAAATTACCTTTAAAAATATTCTAACAGCAATATCTAATTTTACCTTCCGACGTGTGGCAAAATAATCTCACCGAAGTACTTATATGGCTATTACCACTGGAACCAATTAAGAGTTTAGCAGAAGATGCAATATTAAACTGAAATGTGACTTGGGACTCTTGATGACCACATTACATAAAGAAGTTAAGGCAAAAATTCATAATTACAAGGATATCATTTATTTTTCTTTACTAAAGAGCTATAGGACTTTATGAGAAAATGTAAAATGTGTCTCGGGAGACACAGGGAGACCAGAAAAAAAGGGGTCAGATCACTTATTCACAACTCTTAGATTACATGGAAAGGGACGAGAATACATATATTTTTTTTTATAAATTTATTTATTTTACTTACTTATTTTTGGCTGCATTGGGTCTTCATTGCTGCAGACGGGCTTTCTCTAGTTGCAGTGAGCGGGGGCTACGCTTCGTTGCGGTGCACGGGCTTCTCATTGCGGTGGCTTCTCTTGTTGCGGAGCACGGGCTCTAGGCGCGTGGGCTTCAGTAGTTGTGGCGCACGGGCTTAGTCGCGCCACAGCATGTGGGATCTTCCCAGACCAGAGCTCGAACCTGTGTCTCCTGCATTGGCAGGCGGATTCTTAACCCCTGTGCCACCAGGGAAGCCTGAGAATATTTTTTAACTTCTAAATATAATGTTCAATTTTTTGTCCAATTACGAAAGTAAAACATGCTGATTATGGAAATTTTGAAAAATACAAAACTTAAAGTCTTAACATCTGTAAATAATTACTGTTTCAGGTGTTTTATTAAGTATATGTGTACATGCATAAATAAAGTATTTCCATTAAAAGAAGATTATACCATTTATATAATCCCACGCACTTTCCAGTCCCTCTCTAGTTACTTCCTCAGGATCAATTTTTAGGGGAGTTAAAATATATAAACATTTGTAGTAGGGCTTCCCTGGTGGCGCAGTGGTTGGGAGTCCGCCTGCCGATGCAGGGAACATGGCTCGTGTCCCGGTCCGGGAGGATCCCACGTGCCACGGAGCGGCTGGGCCCGTGAGCCATGGCCGCTGAGCCTGCGCGTCCAGAGCCTGTGCTCCGCAACGGGAGAGGCCACAACAGTGAGAGGCCCACGTACCGCAAAAAACAAACAAACAAACAAAAATAAACATTTGTAGTATATTGCTACTTAAAGCACATTTGCTTTCCAAAAGGATTATCTATGTATACTGCCACAAGCAATGTATTTATCTTGCTAATAGCAAATATTAGGTATTTTAATATATTTAGACATATAAAACATATAGATACTATATACACAAATATTTTAAACACGTCATTGTTTTAATCTCTATTTCTTTGATTACTAGCGAAGTTGAAAATTTTGTTGGTAGTCATGGTTTTCTTTTTGATTTATAATAGCCCTTTTAAAAGTGTTTTTAACTACCTGTGATGGTAAATTTTTTTGCAAATATTATTTTCATCATTTTACTTATACTTTTGAACAAGTTTTCTTTTATAATTTATTCCACTGCATTGATTACGTTGCTTTATGCTTAGAAAATCCATCCTCATCTCATCATTAGTTAAATACATGTTTTCTTCTAGAATTTTTATAGTTTTAATTCATCTAATATTTATTATAATTAATAGTAAAAGAGTGAAACTCTGACTTTATTTTTTCTCCAAATTCTTGGTCTGATCTCCCACCCAACTTGTCCTTTATCAAAGACTTTATTTTTAAATCATGAACTGTAGTTATAAATGTGAGGAATTTTCCAGACCTCCCTATTCTACTATTGGCTTGTCTGTCTATTGTGTTGGTCCCATGCTATTTAATTTTTGTCACTTCTCTTAGGAGAGATAGTTATCAGTCACTCTTTAAAACAGTAAGTCATGGACATTTTCACATTTAGTCTTCTAGATAAACTTTAGTTTGTTCAGGTTTCTAAAGGAAGCTGTGTTGGCCCTGTGATTAGGAATGCATGAAATCTGTACGTTAAGCTGGAAGTAACTATGAACTTTATCATATTCAATCTTTCCAGCCGGAAGCAAAATAAATCTTTACATGTTCCTAATGTTCTCTTAAAAATTTATTATTATTATCGGTCAAATCTTTTCCTTCATTATATCTTCTTAGTTTTTTGTTGTTGTTGTCATGTGTTTGTTTTGCCTTGTTTTTTGCTGCCAAATAGGAAAGCTATTGATGTGGGGATATTTATCTCATAAATCATTCATTATTGGTCTGTTACCTGGCGTAACTTTTTCTCCTCCTTTTCTGTAAGTTATACTTCCTATTTCTAGTTCAGAAGAATACTACTAAATAATGAGTTATATTCTTGTCTTCTCCCTGATATTGCCTTCAGGTTTCCATTGTTAAATTTTACCTTGCCTTTTGGTTGGGATGGACATTCTTTATCATTTAGGGTTCCTATAGAGTTCGGACTGAAACTCAGGTATACTTACTTCATGATGGTATCTAACCACACCATCTGATTTATGCCGGGCCTAGGAGCCTCATTTTAAAATATTTAAATTGTTTATATAATTGAGGTTAACCATATAAAACACGCCTGAGTGAAAAAATTGGAAGGAGGGAAAGTTAAACAACAAATCCGATTTCAAGGAGAGGCAGTAG